TCTGTGACTCCTGTTTTTCTTCTTATTTCTAGGTTTGGTACTTTATCTTTGATGGTAAAGTCAGCTTATGGGATAAGAAAATATGGATTTAATTTTAGAAATAAGACCTACATGCCAAACTTTGTCGAATGCTTGAGAGATATCTAGAAATGCACCCTATGAATTTGCTCGATAGTACCATGTTGGTTCCTAAACGCAAACTGACAATTCACTAAAAGATTACTGTCATATAAAATAAGCTCTAGTCTTCTCAGAAAAAGCCGTTCAAATACTTTGAATGTAATAGGCAACAAGCTAATTGAGCGATATGAAGATACTTCCGTGTGATCCTTATTAGGTTTTGGAATAAGAATAATTTGAGCAACTTTCCATTGGAGTAGAAAATAACCTGATTTTAATATTGAATTAAAATGTAAGTAATTAAACTTACGCATTCGTTAGGTAGATTTTTTAATCCAGGTGACTTTTTAATTTCCAGATTATCAATTATTTCTTTGATTTTAAATTTCTTAATAGAGTATATGGTGAGTCGCTTACGGATTGTTACGAGAACGTCAGAAAAGTGTTGAAACGTTTATATGACTATGATGTAAAGATTAATGGAAATAAGTGTAAGTTTTTCGAAACTAAAATAGAATTTTTGGGTCATATCATAGATGCCCTACATTCTACTAAAGACAAGATGGTAGCAAGTAATTCAGCTCCAACACTAACAAATATAACTGAATTAAAGTCATATTTAGGTTTACTAAATTACTACGGAAACTTTATTCCGATGTTTTCTTCCAAATTAAAACGATTGTATGAACTATGTCAAAATAATATTGATTTTAATAATCGCTGGTCAACTGAATGTGATAAATGTGATAAATTTAAAAAAAAAAAGTAAGAAGTAGTTAACATTTCAAAAGTGTCATTACACATTACGATCCAGCTATTCCAATTTATGTTGTATTCGATGCAAGTAGTTATGATGTTGATTGTGTCTTAAGTCATAAAATTGGTCATGTAGAGAAACCTGTCGTGTTTGCATCAAGTACTCTATCTAATACGGAAAAAAAGTATAGTAATTTAGAAAGAGAGACCCTCGGTATTATGTTTGCTCTAAATAAATTTCATAAATATCTGTATGGTCGCACATTTACGCTGATTACGGATCATCAGCCATTACAGTTTATCTTTGGCAAAAATAATGGGATTCCAGTTTCACCGACTGCAAGACTCACAAGATGGGCTATCACTCCGTCGGGTTATCGATACGATATTCAGTATAAAAAAGTGGCAGCAATTAATAATGCTGATGGAATATTACGATTACCCTGTGGTGAAAATACAAAAATTACAGATTTGTTGTATTCTTTTATCTTGGTAGATCAAATACCTTTAAATGCTTGTCATACTGCGAATGAAACAAACAAGGATTTGGTGTTATTAAAAGTAAGAGATTTTATTTTGTAAGGTTGGCCCAAGGAAGTGAGTGATAAATCCTTGAAACCATACTTAAAACATAGAAACGAATTGTCAACAGAACAAAATTGCATCCTATTAGTAAATAGAGTAGTAATTTCAAAGAAATTACAAGATAATGTATTAGACTTATTTCATGAACAACATAATAATGGTATTGTTAGTACTAAAATGTTGTTACGTTCATATTGTTGGTGGCCAAATGTAAATGAACATATTGAAAAATTTATATCGTGTTGTAATGTATGTCAACAATATCAAAATTTCACAAATTCAAACATGGAATTATGTCCGTGGCCATCAGCACCATACAACTTTTACAGAGTATATATAGATATCTTTTTTAAATATAAATACACAATTTTGATTTTAATTGATCAGAAATCAAAATGGTTAGATGTTAAAATAATGTCAAATGGCACAGATGCATCAGATAATATATCAAAATTAAAAGATATGTTTACTATAATTGGTTTTTTCGGTCGAATTAGTCTCAGACAATGGACCTACTTTTAAGTCTAGTGAATTTGTGGCATTTTGTCAAGCAAATGAAATAATACCAGTGAAGACACCTCCGTATAACCCTCAAAGTAATGGTGCTAGGGAGCGTAGTGTTCAAATAGTAAAGAAACATTTTTAAAACGCCCTGTTGACTATTGAGAGAGGAAATTAATAAACAATAAGTTATTCAGAAAATTTAAAACTTTTTAATTTTCTTATAGAACAACTCCTTCAACGGCTACAGGGATTTCTCCAAGCGAAAGTATTTTTAATGTTCGTCCTGTAACTAGATTTAATATGTTGAAACCTTCTTGTCATAATAGTAAGCATTCATCGATTTCAATTAACAATGGTGACACCTTGTATAAAGTTAATAAGTGTGTTTATATTAAAAACAATCAAACAAAATTATGGCCGAAAGGTAAGATTATGAAAATTTTAAGTTACTGTACTTATTTAGTATGTAATAATGATGTTATAAAATTCACGCATGGTTGGAGAAAAGACAGAGGTGACAATTCCTAGATTCTGACGATATCCAAAAGTCAGAAACTCCTATAGTGTGTCGCAATATACCAGTGTTAGGGAATCCAAATTTGAGACACGAATCGGTTCAATTAGAACCAAAGAAGCCCATCCCAAGTTCCTTACAAGAAGAAATAAGCCCATTTCTACCTAGAGATGAAACATCTATGGATTGCAATATTAGAGCGCGCTAAGGAAAATTTGTAAAAGCTCCCATTAAGCTTGATCTCTAACGAGAGAGATGTTACATATTACTCCTGCATCGGAACAGTAGACACTTCAAAATAATTGGACAGACTTGGGTGAGGTTATGTCATGTGGATGAAAAACTCCGAATGTCCACGTTGCTATAATTAATGTTAGGTTAAAATTATATTTAATTATGTTAAACTGTTTTATAAGTTAATAAATAGTTATGTTTTGATAGTCTGTGTGCTTTATTAAATACACAACACATAGTTGACGTAATTTTAAGTGTAATCGAGGCATTGCACAACATTGGCGACGAACAGCGCTGGGCGGCTCCGCTGCTCTTCGATGTTAGAAATGCATTCAATACTCTGCAGTGGCAAGTAGTTATGCGGGCATTGGAAGAGAGGGAGTGCCCTAACTATCTGATGAATGTGATGGCGGATTATCTTTATGAGAGAAAGATCATGATTAAGAATACCACGTCCGTTGACGGAACGGCTCGAGTCCCACAGGGATCAGTCTTGGGTCCGACGCTATGGAACCTGGCATAGGACGGGGTCATGAACTGCGAATATTATCCCCTTGTCTTCTGCAGATGATCTCGCTGTCCTGGTAGTAGTGGGGGACGAGCCGGATCCCCGATTTCGGGTAAGACTTACGGCAACGTCGTGAAAGACTCGATGATAGATCATGGACTAGAACTCGCAGCAGAGGAAACCGAAGTCATTATTCTAAAGCGTAAACGGGAAAGACAATGGATAGAACTTCAATGTGGAATGGTACAACTAACATTAAAGAAAAGCGTCAAATATCTGGGAGTAACACTACACCAATATGGCGGATGGGGTGATCATATACAGGTGGTAGCCCAGAAGGCAGCGAAGAGTGCGGCTGCGATAGAAAGGGTGCAAGGGAAGGAATCGATCATCCTTTACGCGGCACCAGTCTGAAGTGAGGCGATAGAGATACAAAGGACTCATAATACTAGTAGACATAACAAGTCTGTTGCAAGTAGCATGCGCCTACAGGATTGTGGACTGTCACGGGTTGTGTTCCTCTTCATGTGTTAGCAGCAGAGAGGAGATATTTCTATAAGAGAAGAGAATATTTAACAACAATCATGAAAAAAGAAAAAAGAGAAAGATTAATAGAACGATGGCAAGAAGAGTGGAACAATACGGAAGATGTTGCTCAGTGGACCAAGATGCTGATCCCGAGCCTAAGAGACTAGGTGGACTGTGGTCACAGGCGACTGGATTACTTCCTGACAGCTAAGTGCTCATAGGGCATGGGTGTTTTAGGACATATCTTTATAGATTCAGAAAGACAGTACAGATAAATGCCTATACTGTGAATATTCTGACACTGTTACTCACATAATACTTAAGTGTAATAGATGGACAGTGGAGAGAAATAGAATCTGTAGAAAAATAGGTATGAACCCTGTAACTGTGAGAGAGATGAACGTGAAGATGACGGGAAGTGAGGGGGGATAGAATGTTGTACATAAGTAATTACATTCGAACAGTAATTAAAAAGAAAGAAAAAGAAGAGAAACACCAGCCGGATCAACGACAGGGATAAGATATAGATAAGAGAAGGTAGTGCTCCGATAGTGTCGTCAGCCTTACAGCGGCCTGCCCATTTTAAAAGTACCGTACGTGCGACAGTAAACCGCGCACAAGTAGGAGAGAGTGGTTTTAGTTGGTAATCAGGATAACAGGAAGGCATCTGTTTGCAAGACCTCCTTCCTCTAAGGGAAAATGGGCTCGCATGCACTCCTCTACCCCGAATCCGACAGACGCCAGTCATCTGTAGAGATGTGATACTGTGGACCTAGTCGATTGTTGAGTGCTTATTCCTAAATCCGAATTGATGTATCGGAATTAGCTCTAATATCACAGGGAACATAGATATCGGTCTGTATGAAGAAACCTCGGGTACTCGTTTTCTTATTTTTAGAAATCATAATATCTTCAGCCATTTTTCATATCATTGGTATAAATTTTAATCTAAATGCAGCATTAATTCGGTTTGTAGTTTTACGATAGCTCTTTGGGGAAGATTTTTCAGCAGCTTACTAGTTAATTTTTTTCTTTACGGCTGCGAGCTGCTCGTTACTCAACTTAAAAACGCAAACTCATATACATATAGCTAATAAACGTGTGGCAGTGATAAAATCACCCTAGATATGCGACCAGATATAACAATGGAAAATGTGTACATGGCAAAAATTAGTTATTCAATTGAAATAAACCTTTTTAACAACGAACACGTGTGTTATACAAAATATAACTTAAAAAATTTATAAATACCTTCTCCTTCATGTACCCATTTGACAGATCTTTTCATTCGTTTCACGTACATCGACTGCCCCTTGCTGCTCTTGTTACTAATGTCCGACAACGAACTGGATATCCTGTGGGCTAGCTTAATCTGATCCTCGACCGTTGGATGGAAACCTTTTTCGTAAAATGCCGAAGAAGCAAATACTTTTCCTAAAAATATTAACAATTACTATTTTAATACTCTTAATAATAATTTTTAAGTCATTTTATAACATATTGTTCTGAAGCTATTTTCTTGTGGCATTGTAAATTAATTACTATTTATAACTGGGAATAAGCCACAATATTAAAGATAAAAATACGTTTATTGACGTTTCAATTTCCAATTCGGAAATCGTTCTCAAAATACAAACAGTAAATTAAACAAATTTTGTTTTTTTGTTAAATAGTGAAAAAATTCTTCTAATACTTTAATTTTATCTGACTCATTTATATTGATAATTCAGACATACATTATGCATTTTAAAGTAGACGACTTTAAAATGATATTGCCAATATTGTTGAGTTGCGCTCCTGGGACGACTTTACTTATAAGATAGTTCATTCGATTACATGAAATCAACTTTAACTTGAGAATATCCGTCAGAAAAAATCATAGCATGTAATTCGTCTTTAAAAAGACAAACACATGACATGATGACAGTAAAATTCTCCCGTTAGTGATTCCATAGTTAATTATGAGGGAAAAACCAGGAAAAAATCCTCATAATACTATCCCGACATTGTAAGTATTTGTTCGTGAATTTAGTTTACCTTCAACAAACATCAAAATTCTGATTTTATATGTTACGTTATTTAAAAAACATAAATGATGTATCCTCCATATGTTACTGACTTACTAATACTGGTATTTTCTTATTAATAACTTCCTCTTTCAATATTGGTAACCAGATCCTACTACATTCTGCCGAGGAATTTGCGACACAATTGGCCTCATTTAGCATAATTAGAGCCGCTTCTTTGATTTTTCTTTTTTTACCATCCGTTTCTTTTAGGACTATATTTGAATTATTCCATTGAACCCTATGTTCATTATCCCATGGGTGTTTACATATTTGAGATCTATCAAATTCTCTATTTTTAATATAAGATTGATGTTCACTTATTCTAACATTTAATGGCCTTGATGATTCACCTAAATAAAACTGATCGCATTCACAAGGTATTTTATAAATGCAATGTTCATTGTTAGGTTTGGTTTTGGACAAAATAGATCTCAACGTGTTTGTTGTTTTGAATGTTGTTGAAATGTTAAATTTATTTCTATCTTGAATGAACTATCTTATAAGTAAAGTCGTCCCAGGAGCGCAACTCAACAATATTGGCAATATCATTTTAAAGTCGTCTACTTTAAAATGCATAATGTATGTCTGAATTGTCAATATAAATGAGTCAGATAAAATTAAATTATTAGAAGAATTTTTTCACTATGTAACAAAAAACAAAATTTGTTTAATTTACTGTTTGTATTTTGAGAACGATTTCCGAATTGGAAATTGAAACGTCAATAAACGCATTTTTATCTTTAATTGTGGCTTATTCCCAGTTATAAATAGTAATTATTTTATAACATAATAATATAAACGTGTAAATAGATTCAAAACGGGAACAATTATTTTTCTTAATAAAACCTTGAATTAGTAGCTTTTATTGGAGTATGATTCATCATCATTAAACGTTTCGAGTCTACTGTTAAATATAGGTCTCCCGTAAATAATTCAAGAAGAAACATCAAGAAGCCATTTAAACAATGCCCAGTACCATTTTCTGTTTCTAATTTGAATCCTCTACTGTCCTCTACATTCTGATCCATTCGTTCAGTACGACCCATTTTTTTGTAATACTCTGCAAGTAGGTACTGCTGGTATGCTAACTTGAATTGTTCTTTTTTCTTTTGCGAATAACATTTGTTATTGGAGATTGATGCCATATCTATTTGAAGCAATGCAAACTACGGAATTATCGACTCACTTAGCTACTATTGTAGTATCCGTCTTACTAATAGTTCATAGTATCCCGTTTCCTTTTTCTGAATATCTTTTTTAGTTAATAAAAGACAACTCCTAGGTAAACGGTTTTCCTTTATAGCCACCGTGCCTCCGCATCATTTTAAATGTGCATAAGACAATCGACTGAAGGTAGTAAATAAATTGTCAAAGTAAAACAAGAATGGAAAAGATTTTAGATTATCAGGTAGTTATTTTATCATTTTCACCAAATGGTTCTGCCGCGTTTACAAAGTTTCTTTCTATGTCAATTTCAAGAGTTACAGATTTTTCTTGATATATTTCGACATCAATCAAATATACCATCACTGTATTTAGACACCAGACTTTATAAACAAATCGTATGGGTTTGTATCTTAAAAATTGCTTGCAGCAATGTTTATCGTAGTATTTGGAAATACTTTCGTCGAAATCGAGATTTTTTTCCGGAACAAAATACTTTCTGAATCTGTTCTTCACTTTATTTATAAATGGTCGTATTTTCCAGAGCTTATCACCCTTATCAATATTTGCATTAGAATTCAAGTGAATAAGCCTCAAAATTTGCTCAAATATATTGCGTCTCATAGCATTATATACAAGTTCTTTTTTAGTGTTGAGACTTTGCTCCCAATACATACGCTTGCTGGAAAGATTATTATAACCACTAAAAATCAATACAGTAATGAAACAAATTGTTTCTCGTTATCTGTGAAATCTCCCGAAACCCGATCCCGGGATTTAAAATTTTTTTAATATACTATATGAACAGGTGTAATATCGATATCATTTGCTAAAGAAATTTTACCCTCTGTCGACTCTGACTGTTGGCTAGGAATTTCTTCTCCTAGTATTCCATCAGCAGTTCTAACTTCTGCATAGGTAAGTAGCTGACGTTTGCTCAAATTGTCGAAATCTCCGCCTTCGTCGTCATCTCCGGAATCCTCATCCATCAGAGTAGCCGGATCCGGTGGCGGTATATAAATTGCCTCTACAGCGTCATGTATCTTGTCGTCTTTTCCAAAGGCTTTATTATACAAAATAAGATTTATATACTTACTTTTTATCAACGAAGACGATTATTTGAAGATTATTTTCTTTCGTTATATTTTATCCAGCACATATTCAAAACAAAGTTCTAATAAAATTTCACATTTAAAACGATGTAAACACTAACACCTTCTGACAGGAACTGACCTGTTTTCAACTCAAAATTTGCGACGTATGCGATAGAGGATCTATTTAGATGACACCACTTTGCCGTTACATAATGGTAACGTAAGGACCTAATGGGTTAAAGAGCTTGTTTGTATAAATGAGATAACAAGCTGATAGGTCTGTAGATTCCAATTTCTTTTAAATCCTTTTATATACAATATTATCATAATGACACTAATTCATTTTTCTGTTGTAATTCCTTCCAAGAGGCAGAAATTAAAGTTTCTAAAGCTCTTATGACGGGTTCGCCTTCGAGTTTTATCATTTTACTTACAATGCCATCTTTTCCAGGTGTTATTGTTGTTCTTCATACCTATTAACGCTGATTTAAGTTCCTCTTATCCTTGAGTTTGTTGGGATTTCTACCTCTAAAAAGTAAGCATCGCGACTGATGATTCATCATGATGTAGAGTATGATGTATCATCGTAGAGTATGATGTATCATACTCTACGATGATTTTCAGGATCTCTTGTTATTCATATATGGCATGTCCTTGTTATTTCTGCAACTACAATTGGTATTTTATTTCATTTTATTCATCTAAGAAATAGCTTGAACTTTTTTAAGAGAAGATACAGCGAATAGTCCAAAGCCAAAGATAGACATAACAGAGGAATCTTTGCCTACGACGGTCGAAGCCCTCTGCGACGAGGAAGCTAAGGTGGTTTGATCCCCTACTTTCCCGAGACATTAAGCTCTGCAATATTAGAGGAGAAGTCCACTTTCATTGGGGGCTTTTTTTAAAATGATTGTTCATGATGTATGATCCATGTTTCAGAAGAAATTCTATAAGAGTTTGACCACTTTTATTTCTATCGCCATATGCGTGAGAATAAGCACAAATTCTGAATCATTCTGCTTGTGGCCTATTTTAGAGTTTAGATCTGCCATCAATATAGTGTAATTAGTGGTTGCCTCTGGTATTGCAGTGCTAACAGTAGCGTAGAATCATTTAACTACTTCATCTGTGTGGGTACTGAAAGGTGCGTATACCTGGATGATCTTTAAACAAATGTTTTCTTTTACTTTGTAGATAAGACAGGTGACTCTATCACTTATGCTTTTAGTTTTAATTCCTCGTCTTGTTCCGTCAGGTGGCTTTTAGTTTTAATTCCTCGTCTTGTTCCGTCAGGTGGCTACCAATGAAACGTTACGGTCGGTAGGTGATTATATGTCATTATTAGTACATGTCAGTATCAAATAAGCTTTCTTTTCTGTATTTCTTCTTAGCAAGTTGCCAGGTTTCGCATTTATAAAATACAACGCTTTTAATATACTTATATACTTTAAATAATACTTTAATATTTACTAAGAATAATCTCATGCTCTATTCTCTGCGCTGTAACCGATCTATTAGATTTCTTTGTTACTCGATTTGAAGTTGTCGGTAAAACGTCAATAACAGAATAGACCGACTTCAATTAACCGCCTCCGAAATTTATATCAAATACGGAAAAAATATCTAGTGATATCTGATGTGCTATAACAGGCAATCTAGATCCCATATTTAGTTCTTTCGAGATATCATTGCTTCTATGTTCTATCCGTGCTACCTTAAAGTTTTTCGTCGCCGTTATAGCCGCATGTCTAAAATAAAGCTAACTGCAACCTACCAGGAGTTGGCAACAAAAATACTTACGACTTTTAGTAGGTTTAATTTGTTCTCCATCGGCGGGCGTGAAGATTTTTTCAAGGTTAATTGGTGGTTTTGGGGGAGCATTTTCATCCTTAAAAAAATATATTTTAATTAAAAAAACTATAACAAAAACGTGTATATAAAATGTGTATATGTAATAAATAGTGTATATTTACATATCAGGGAAATAAGATTTTTGTTCGTGACACTGACTCGGCCAGGCAAACGACAGTTGTTTTGAGTAGTATGGACCTCTATAACAAGAATCTATGTATATGTTTCCTGTAATCGATTTGCTGGACATAACTAGTTTAACAAATTATGGTCCAAAAACGGTTATTTTCAAAGTTTTCGTCTATCAGCAAAAACTGAAGCTTTTAAAACAACGATCAGAGTAATAAGCTTATACGTCATATGAAGACCTTTAAACTAACGTGTTTTATATATTTTAATCCCTATTTGTTGCTCAGAAAGTTGCAAAATAAGTCGGAAATTTTGTTTTTTTATTAATGGTAATAACTTTTTTAAACATGAACTTGAACCTTCATATTACATGGACTGTTGAATCTTGAGGTGTTTAAAATAGTTTAAAAGTTATTTTATTTGTTTATCTCAAATTAATTTTTTTTCCAACTTAAACAGAAAATGATAAACTTTCAGTTATTCTACGAATGACTTATTATGACAGAAAAAGGATTATTATTTTAACACTATTTAAAATAATAAAGAAAATAATTTTAAATATTGCAAAAACATATTCATTTTTCTTATAAACAATTATTATACCTTTTTAACTGGGCCTGCAGGAAAATTATTTTTTTCAAATTATAAAAATAAAAAGTTGTCCTAGGACAATTTAAGATCAAGTTAGTACCTTTTATAAATATATAAATAACAACAATTTGTTTACATCAATTAAGAGATCTAATTAGCCTCATTTGAAAGAACATACTTTAAAGTTTTAATGTGCCGAATTCGAAAAAGATTTCAACCTTTCAGACCTTTCAACGGAATCGTCCACAAAGGTTTAAAATGTAGTGCTCAAAATTAATCGACTTTGAAACTCACGCGAGTGATGGAGGAAAAAGGAGCTGTTAACTCTATTTCTGGTTTCTGTTTATAACAAAGCATATTAGGTTAGCGTACCTACTATTAAGGACACCCACTTAATAATTCAATTTTTTCCTCATTATAATTTAGTTAAGCAGAATCTAAATACCACAAATCAAAAGCTGCTGAAAGAGTGCGGCTTATATTTAAAAGTAACGAGACAAATTAATAAATAATAATAACAGATAATGCCGGCTACCGTGCACCGAAATATTTAAAGTAACGAAGTAACGATATACAATAATTCTCAGTTTGGTATTCGGTACTTAGGATATTGGATAGTAACGAATATAAAGTAAAGAGTAGGTACTTTTTGGACATCACTAAACTTGATTTCTAATTGAGCTTTCGTTCGAATTTAATGTAATAATTGTTTTTCATCTAATCCTTCTTGTTCTCGGAGTGACAAGTTTACAATTTGACATATGTGACGAAGTTTCAGATAGTTCCAGTCGGAGTAATGAGAGTTGGAGTCATATATATATATATATATATATATATATATATATATATATATATATATATAAATGACCTAAAAGCAAATTTGATGAACTTTTCGAAATAATTTATGCATCCCAAATTGATTTGTGTAAATTGTGCCAACATAGAAAGGCTGAAATACAATTCGTATACATATTTTATTCCATTTCATATAGGGTGAGGGTCCATCAATCCCTTTCTAGACAGATAATGTTGTTCTAAAGCTATTTTCTTGTGTCATTTTAAATTAATTACTATTTAACTGGGAATAAGCCACAATTAAAGGTTAATATACGTTTCTTGACGTTTCAATTTCCACTTCCACTGGAAATCGTTCTCAAAATACAAACAGTAAATTTACTGGCAATAAACGTATTTAACCTTTAGTTGTGGCTTATTCCCAGTTAAATAGTAATTAAGAGATAATGTTCTTTAAAATACAGTCAAGTTTAGGTCATTAATTTGCTTTTTTGTGTTTTAACCATGTTTTAGTACATGTAACCTTATTCAAAGAATACGTTTATTAAACAGACTGACTCCCGTCGAACATGGTAGATAGCTGTTAGTTAGAGCATAGGCACCGATCGCTTAGATAAATTAAAACGCTACCCGGTGACAGTTGTTTTGACATTAATTAATTTGGTTGATCTTTATTATGGCTATGTTACTTTAAGCTTAAACTATACCTACTTTGATACGTTGTTCTAAGATCTAAAGAAACGTTAATCAATAGTAATAGACTAATGGATAACTGCGAGACTTGCAAGACCAAGACCAAGACCAGGTATATTGGCGCAAGACAGTCTTGTTCAAGTTTTGTCTTGTTCTCGCATTCTTGCAAATTTATGATAGTATCAAGGAGTCCAATAAATAATGAACAACTAACCCTTGGTGGACATCAAATATGGAGAGTGGCAAAATATAAATATCTGGGAGCTTACATCAACACAAGAATTAGATCCAGACCAAGAGATCAGGTTACGAAGAGAAATGTCAATGGCAGCGTTCTTAAAATTCAAGCAATTTTTCTGTGACAAATATCTGAATACTGCACTGAGATTGAGGTTTTTTGAATGTTTCGTCTGGTTCCAACTATTGTACGGGGTAGAAACATGGACGTTAAAAGCGCAAATAGTTAAGAATGTAACTCGTACCTTGTACCGAAGTGCCATCAAAGTCGGTGGAGGATGAAGTAAGGGGAGTAATGATTTTTCCAAAATGATCCAGACCTTGTTAGATTTAGGGAGCCAAGGTCAAAAATCTATATAAGTGTCTTCAAAATATATAAACGTAATACTAGCTGTATGAGCTGGCGCAATATCTTGTCGGAAAAGTGAATTAAAAGCATTGGTATATAAATCAAAACATTTGGATCCACTACCTTCTAGATGTACCGCACGGCGGTCATGTTGCCTGCGATCGACACCAAAACCGGTCTACTTCCATAGACAATAGCTCTCCATACCATAATTCCAACAGTGTGATGCACACGTCTATCCATAGAAAATTCGGAATCTCGTCCTTCACAACGTCGCCTTCTCATGTTTAAACGGCCATTGTCCATTGCCAAACAGAACATTGATTTATCATTAAAGATAATAGGTCACTTCGGTGCCTACGAGTGAAACGTAGTATGAAGTAAGTCCAAATTGTCTGATTTGATGATAAACAATTTGTATCTTCATCAATCACACATCGTCAGAAACCAAATAGACTTTGTCTTGATCAGAAATAGGTTTAAAAATTCAATAAAATCAGCAAAAACTTATCCAGGTGCCGATATATACTCGGATCACGTCCCTATTATTGTCGAAATGGAAGCAAAATTAAAAAAGTTAAAAAACAAAAAGATTAGAAAAGAATTCGATGTGACAAGATTAAAAGATACTCAGATAGAACAAAGAGTTAGACAGAAAATCAATGATAATCTTAAACCCATCAAGTCAAAAAACACCAACTCTAAAGACGTAAATGAAAATTGGAGAGAGGTTCAACAAGCTTTAAAAGAAGCGGGAGAAGAAATACGTGGACCAATACCAAAGAAAAGACATATGTGGATGACAGACGAAATACTAACTCTCATGAATGAAAGAAGAAAATATAAAAACATAAACACTAGCAAATACAAATCCTTAAACAGCAGGATTAGAAAAGACATAATAACAGCAAAAGAAAGATGGCTAACTGAACAGTGTCACGAAATAGAAGAATATGAAAAGAAATATGATAGTTTCAATATTCATCGGAAAGTGAAGGAAATGACGTCGGGAAAACAAAATAATATACATGTTATAAAAGACTCGAATGGTAACATTCTCACAGATACAAAACAACAACTAAACAGATGGACAGAATATATAAAAGAACTATTCGGGGATGACAGACAACAAATCATAGATGAGGACTCTGGTGAATCGGGACCAAAAATTTTAAAACAGGAAGTTCAATACGCATTAAAACAGACAAAAGGGAAAAAGGCCACAGGTCCGGATGAAATCCCGATTGAGTTTCTTAAACTGATCGATGATGAAATGATAGACATTCTAGTAGAACTTTATGATCATATTTATCAAACAGGTATTTTACCAAAGGAGTGGTTAGTATCCACATTCGTAATTATTCCCAAAAAGCAAAATGCAAAAGAATGCTCAGAACACCGTACAATTGCATTAATGAGCCATGTTTTGAAAGTATTTCTACGAATAGTCCACAACAGAATTTACAGAAAGCTGGATGATGAAATTAGTGATACTCAGTTAGGCTTTAGAAACGGCACGGGAACCAGGGAAGCATTGTTCGGTATAAATGTGCTCATGCAAAGAAATCTGGATATGAACCAAGACATGTATACATGTTTTATTGATTTTGAAAAAGCATTTGACAAGGTACAGCACAATAAACTAATTAATATTTTAAAAATGAAAAACATCGATAGCCGCGACATCAGAGTAATCTCGAACCTCTACTGGAACCAGAAAGTCAAAATAAGAATTGAAAATCAAATGTCGGAAGAAATAGAAATTCTTCGGGGTGTGAGACAGGGCTGTGTATTATCACCACTGCTGTTTAATATATATAGCGAAGCCATCTTCCAAGAAGCTTTAGGAGAGTGTAACGATGGAATGATAATAAATGGTGAAATTATTAATAATATAAGATATGCCGATGATACTGTCATATTCACTTCAACTCTGCAAAGTCTATCAAACATACTGGAACGGCTGAATGAAAAGTGTACCATATATGGTATTAAAATGAACTTAAAGAAAACAAAATTCATGGTCATTACAAAACATCCAAAAGACAACGAGACACTCCATATTAATAATATCCAGATAGAAAGGGTAGATAAATACAAATATCTAGGAACATTGGTTAGTCAAAACGCAGAACAAACGCAAGAGATTAAAAGCCGTATAGAAATAGCAAGGGCAAAATTTGTAAAAATGAAACATCTATTGTGTAGTAGAGACCTAAGAATGGATCTAAGGATAAGGTTAT